TGCCCGGTGTCTTGTTACCCATTTGTTTACCTGCATTTAGTCTATCTGTTGCCTGGGGGTGCTAGTGGTATATGTTTTGTTCTTTCCCTCTTTAGAGATAAAGGGGGGTGGACCCGTGGGTGGTTGCCTGGGGGTCTTCTGTTGCCTGTTTTTACCCCTTTTTAGGAGTCACTTGGCCTAGACTGTTGGGAAAAAAGGGGGGGTGGACCTGTGGGGATTTTCCAAAGGGGTCCTGTTTTCCTGTTTACTTCTTTTAGGTACTGTCTAGCTAACAGTAGTAAGGAAAAAGAAGGGTTGGGGGATTCTGTGGAGGGGACTTGCCTCCTGGGGTTTCCCGGTTACGTCACTTTGATATTCTAGCTAGCCTCATTGTGTACATTGCTCTGCTTGTAGAGGTTATGGTACCCTCCAGCTTCGAGCGCTGAGGCTGGTGGCATTCCAATTTATTTGTGGTGTGTGGATTCGGGCAGGCATTGTTGTCTCCATCACCACGGGGTAGTGTGACTTGTGGGTGGGTCCATAGGGAGCACTACGGGAGGGAGGATAGAGGTGGCCACACTTAGTGGACTGCTGTAACGAGGGAGGCATATGGATTTCGGGCCGGTGTTAGTCGTTATCCTTGGCCGCTGGTAGTGAAACTTACGAAAGTTGTTCTCCGAGCGGGGACACTACGAGGTTGAGGGAGGTGGCCTTGGTGGCCACAAGAGTAAAGGAAAGGGATTACTGTTGATGCATGCACTGTATTTCAATTGAAATGTTGTATTAAATGTTGTCTTAAGTGTGGAGTCATTCAAACTCCTGGGTCTGTCTTTACTTTCACTGTTTACTTTTACTTTACTTCCTGTACTATTTACACTATCCACTCCTATTTCTCTTGAAAGAGAAGTGATTGGTCACACACTTCTCACCCCGCTCCAATCCGTGGTTACCATCGAGGGTACACGGATTCAGTGACTGGTCTACGCTTTGGGAAGACGCACTGGGAGGGACCCACCCTTCCTAGTGGCAGTCGAGCATTGTAGACGTTCTGTTTCATTTTCCTTTACCTATACTTGGGACGCTTTGTATAGGGGGATATGGGACAGGAAACGAGTAAGCCCGCTAGGGGCTGGCTCGCATGTGATTTAGTTGAAGATAGAGAAGGTGAAGAACTGGTTAAAAATGTTGCAAAGATTGCTAAAGTGTGTAAAATTGCTGTGCCTTCATGTGGTAGATTACAACCAGAAAGTTGGCATAGATTACTGACAGAGAAGAAAGGCAAGCTTACAGATAATGATTTATTGCGTACTGCTGAAGCATGATACAGAGTAGAAAGGCTATCCAGCAGGAGGGTTGGGTAGAGGAAGAGATAAATCATAAAGGGAAAAGAACTGTATGTATATCATAATAATTGTGTTACTGGATGCTGATGGATCCCTATTCTTCCCCCCCCCCATCAGTCCTACAGATCTCGTCACCCTCATCCTCTCTCTGCAGCTCCCTGCACCTCCAGTCCGTTTCTCCCGTCAAAGATTTCTGGTTTCCAAACGTATAAGTCTCTGTCCTTCTGTCTTGTTACTTTCCAGCACTCACATGGTTAATCTTCATGCCTGCAGCTTCACTCCCTTTTTTGCACTGTCTAACTTTCTCCCCTCCTCTCCTCCCCGCTTGCCTGCATTTCTACTGATAAGAGTATAAGGTACTGAGGATTGTGGGAGTGACGAGCTCACAAGATTGCATTCAGTGTTGAATACGGGATTTAGGAAGGTGTAGAGGGAATATGCGATGTTGTTAAGTCAGTATAAGAGGAGGAAAGTGATTAATGGTTTGAGGAAGATAAGGGAAATTGGTTGAATTCCGTGAGTTTATCATTTTATTATTTTAAAGTTATTTTAAAGTACATGTTTCTAGAAACAGCTGTATGGGCTGTTAAATGCATAATGTTCTCAACTGTCTTATTTAACCTGCCAGGTCTGTTCATAGTTTAGTATTTCATTTTGCAGAACGGAATGTTGCTTCTCTGACTTATTTTAATAGTTATAATATAGTGTATGGTTGAAAGTGCATCAGCCACCACCCTAAAGATGGCGCCTAGTACAGAAGGAGGTTGACCCTGCCAGTCCCGTGACCTATCTACAGTCACGGTTGCTTCCAAAGTGACGTCACTTCCGCCCTTACCATGCCCACACCTCCTGTCTTCCTTTCCCACACCTATCATGGACGTCATCTCACTTCCTCCCTTGCTGTCATTTCCTTCCCCGCCTCTGTCATGGCTGCCTCCATCATGAGGCCTACCCCTATTATGCTCGTCCTATTTAGAGACATGTTGTTTTCCTTACACTCTACATATTATGAACAGAAACATTATAATTACTAAAACAATCATGCCATTTGTTTCCCTGTATCAACAATGTGTCCGTGATATAAAAAAAAAGAAGGTTGCTAAAATGTAATTTGCAAATGTGGTGTGACCTACAAATGAGATCTGTTGGACATGAATATAAGAGCATAACAGCTGATTATCCAGCTTCATCTTACAACAAGGGAAATAGCTAAATAATGCAAGTTATTTTAAACATTGTATCTTTACTTAATCGAATCTTGCTAGTTACAGATCGTATGTTTACAGTAACATCCTTTACTTTAAATGATGGTTTAGCATTAGAAGGGTTTGTGACATGTTTTATTAACCCAGCCACTACTGGTTGTTCATTTTAGTTACAGGGTGGTATAATTGTTGTAGTCTAATTGATATAAATGATAGTACCGCAATAGTTAACGTTTTATCCAAAGACATATAGGAACTTTACTTCACTTACTATTAACCATTATTTATAATGATAGACATGTTCAGACTGCAAAAAAGCTATGGCTAATGACATAGAAAGGGGTTTGAGTCAGTAACACAGCCCATACAGAGGAGAGCAAACCCGCTGATGCTTAATGCCCCTGCCATGGCAGTGTCTACAGGGAACAAGGGGGGCCACTTGCCACTGTGACTTTACCCATTGAAGGACGAAAAAACCAAATTTTTAGTTGACACAGGTGCAGCCCGAAGTGTTCTGAGAGAACAAGACCTGCCAGATGCCTCATTCCTATCAGAAATAGATGTCTCTTGTGTTGGAGTGGATGGCCAACCAAGGCACAGTCCTTTAACAACCCCATTGCGAGTTGGCAATTACCTAAACTTGCTTGCTCGATTTGTAGTATCCTCCACATGCCCAATTAACCTGTTAGGTGCTGATGTCCTCTCACGCCTGCAGGCATCTATCACCTTCACCCCAGAAGGTCAAGTAGAATTGTCTACTCCCCTATCTGAATCAGATACCTCAGTTGTGTGCTCCCTACCTCTAGTGCTGCATTTAGATGAACCCCGTGGGGAAGCAAAAGAGCAGAGGTCCAATTTTTCGGATATCATCAAAACAAAGGTACCTGCAAAATTATGGTCCAAAGGCCCAGAAGACATAGGTCATCTGAGAGTTCCACCTGTGGTGGTAAAGCTCATTCCAGGAGCAAAATTACCAAGAAAACCACAATATCCTCTAAAGCCAGCTCAGGCTGCAGCTATTTCAATTCAAATCAAAGCACTTTTGGAGAAAGGTGCTCTTGTGAAGTGTGAATCAAAATGCAACACCCCATTATTTCCTGTGAAGAAGAAAACACCAAAAGGGGAACCAGAGAAGTACAGAATGGTCCAGGACCTCAGAGCTGTCAATGAAGCAACTGTCCTGGACACCCCTATTGTACCAAACCCCCACACTCTGCTATCTGGAGTTCCACCATCTGCAAAATACTTCACAGTCATTGACCTGGCTAATGCCTTCTTCAGTGTTCCACTGGATCCGACTTGCCAATACCTGTTTGCTTTCACTCATGAAATGCAACAGTATACATGGACTGTCATGCCCCAAGGGGCACAAAATTCTCCAAGTCAATTTGCTAAAGCCATGTGCTCCATCCTGGACCCATGGCAAACAGACCACCCAGAAGTTGTCCTACTTTAGTATGTGGATGATCTCCTACTTTGTGGGGATGACATACCTACAACAGAAGACTGTTCTATTAGTCTCCTTTGCTACCTAGCAGAACAAGGATGCAAAGCTTCACGTCTCAAGCTGCAATTCTGTCAGCCAACAGTAATCTTTCTTGGACATTGCCTATCTCAAGGCACCAGACATCTCACTCGGGACCGAGTCAGAGCCGTACTGGAGATTCCACCTCCAAGAACCACAAAATCTCTCCATGTTTTTTTAGGCCTCATTTCCTATTACAGAGCATGGATCCCAGAAGCCTCTCTGCTTATGCAGCCACTCTATGATGCACTCAAGTCAGACCCATTCTGCCTGACAAATGAAGCACTGGACAATTTTAAAATTCTGAAACGTACCATTGCATCTGCTCCTGCTCTGGGCCTACCAGACTACACCAAACCCTTCAAATTATTTGTCTCTGAAAGACAAGGCCACGCCACAGGAGTGCTTACCCAAACAAATGATTTAAGAGGCCGCCAAAGGCCTATTGGGTTTTTCTCCTGTCAGCTGGATATCATGGCCAGAGGGGCCCCTTCATGCCTTAGGGCTGTTTTTGCTGCAAGAGAACTTATTGAGAAAACTGCAGACCTGGTCCTTGGTCATCCTCTGGTCGTATTGGCACCTCATGACATTTCTGCCATTATCAACCAAGTCCAGCTCAAACATGTGTCTCCTGCCAGACACCTGCGTTTACAGTGTCACCTCCTGCTACCTGACAACATCACCATACAAAGGTGTCAAGTTCTTAATCTGTCCACTC